CACACATGACTAATTTTTTGTATTTAATAGAGATGGGATTTCACTATGTTGGTCAGGCTGGTCTTGAACTCCTCACCTCAGGTGATCTACTTACCTCTGCCTCCCAAAGTGTTGGGATTACAGGTGTAAACCACTGCATCCAGCTCAAAATGTTGAATAAAAAGGATCATACACACAAAAAATACTTCCTAATTTTATGTATGAAAGTACAAAACTATGGTGCTAATAGGACAATAATACACTTGAGGAGGTAGACAGTAGGAGAGAACACACAGAAGGATCTTCTGGATACTGGTAATGTTCTGTTTCTTGATCTGGATGAAGATTGCATGGATGAATTTACTTAGTGATAACTGAGCTTTAACACGTATAGTATGTATATTTTTGTACATTCTTTTACTTCAATAAAAGTGTAAAATATCATCCTGACGCTAATTTTAAAAGACACAGCCAAAGCAAAACTACATTGAAAGGTGAAACATTAAAGAGTAAACCAAGATCTGACACTCAAGTGGGATGATTTTCATACACAAGGTGAGAGAGAGGTAGAGAGAGGGGTTTAAGAATGCAATGTTTAAATCCTGCTACCATAAAAAGAGGAATAATCAAATTCAAAACAAAGACAACTAACGAGAATCTATTTGAGACAGAAACTGTGGAAAAATAACATTTCTGAATGTGCCCCAGTTTCAGACTTAGCAAAATGACACTTCCATTACAAAGGAAGTGTTTTGCTAGAAGCATGTAAATATTACCTACAAATAACTTAAAAATGGGAAAAATTTCAATGAGGCTATAAATACGGGAGAAAATAAGTACCACTATGAACGAATTAATTGAAATAGTCCAAATTATTTTTACAATTGAGTTCTTTCAGACTTTCAATACACAGATATTTATAATGTTATGTAAACATTTTCAGAGTATGATAAATATAGAAAAATTCTCAATTTGCTCTATGAAACTGTTGTATGTCATTCAGACATTGAAACATGACAAAAATAGTACAAAGTTTAAAGGGAATAGAGCAATTCATTTAGTTCACTAGCAGAAATTCCCAAATAAAATAAAACACTAAATTTAACAGTATAATAAAATAATCTACTGTGACTCAAGTTGATCTCATTTAAACAAAGCGATGTTGTTATATTATTAGGAAGCACTATCTTTTGTCATTTTCGTAATTCACAAATAAATCTTAGTAAATGTTTTAAAAAGCCATTTGATAAAATCCAACCTTCATTTCTCCTAAAACTCTGTAATCTACTAAGAAAAACTAGTTACTTAATGACAACAAACATCTAAAAGCAAAAATAAACTGTTCAGATCATACTTAGATGGGAGCTAGTCCTACTACAAGTTGATAAAAGATGAGAATATTTGCTATCACTACTACATTTAGCATTGTTTAGGAAGAGCTGGCCAATGTATTAAAGGAGAAAATAAAACAAAACAAATATTAAAAAAATGAGACATGACCTTTGAAATGGCAGAAATTAAATTTTCTCTACATGCCTATTATATGATTAAAACCCTAATTTAGAATGTAGAAAACTTAATAGAATGAATAACGTATTAAAATTCAGGAAATGAAGTTATGGCTTACTAAGTAAATACATGTGGGTCACAAGTTTTCTTCAATATCAATATTTAACAGGATTTATGATAATCATAGATACTTTATATATAATTCTCTACAATAATTCAATAAAAACACAGGCATCCTATTGCAAATATAAGAGGGTGCTTCAAAGTTTTTTGAGAAGAGGTAA